ATGTATGAGGTGCATTAAAAATGGTTAAGGGTCTAAGAAGAGCCCTAAGGATAAGTCAGGTTGAAAATTATATGATTGGATAAAGTTTCACATGAGTTTGTACAAGATCTAACTTCAAACAAGTATAACTCTCAGGATATGAAGAGTTATATGGTGTATAACTATCAAATTAAATCCCTTTGAGTCTAGTTTTCAACGCATCAAACCGTTCATCATTTGGAGATTTCTACAAGAAGTTATGACCATTTTACTAAAGAGTAGCAGAACAGCTATGCGAGTCTGCGTAGCCTACGCACCATTGCGTAGGCAAAATCAGTATGGAAGTGAAGGGGAGGGTTAAGCTGTGTAGCCAATCTGCGTAGGCTACGCAGCCAGCCTACGCAACTCATTTTTTTATAAAACAGGGGAGGTTCGGGGAGAGAGAAAAAGATAAAACTTTTGGCTAAGTTTTGGGTTCTAGAGAGAAGGTGGAGCATCCTCAACCAAATAAACATCAAAGGTGAGTTTTATGATATTTTTATAATGGATTAACACTAGTTAATGGTAGTATTAACATCTACATGGATTGAAATTCATAGGGATTTTTCTAATCTTCAAGAATCATTCAAAAGGGTTCAAGTTAGTGTTTGAGCTATAAGAGGTAAATTCTCCACCCTACACTTAAATACAACTATGGATTAAGTATTTGAAATATATTGTGAATTAGAAAGTACCAATTGGTTGAAGAATTATGCTAATCCTTGAAATGGGTATTGTGAGTTAGGGTTCTTGAATGGAGAAGAAGATGAATAGTGAATTTTTGAATCTTGTTAGGATGGTTGGTGATTCTAGTGCTTCAATAGCTTAATAATGATTAACTATTGAATCATATAACCTAGATTGGGGCTTAAAGGCTAAGGATGAAATCTATTAAGGATAAAAGGGATATGTATGGGTGAATTGGGCTTGTTGAAGACTTTAATTGAAGATTTGAGGGTNTATGGGTGAATTGGGCTTGTTGAAGAATTTAATTGAAGATTTGAGGGTCGAGTTGATGTCGGAATTTGGTGAAATTTGCATGGTTGGACTCGTGGTTGGATGGGCATTCATATTTTGTAACTTTTGTTGGGTTCTGAGATGTAGGCCCCACGGGCGATTTTTGGATGAAATTTTAGATTTTTATGGAAACATTATATTTTCATATGGAATTAATTCCTACATTTTTTATTGACTGAATCGAATTATTTGTGGCTAGATTCAAAGTGTTTAGAGGCCAATTCACGAGGCAAAAGCATAGCGGAATAGAAAATTACACAGGTTGAGGTAAGTAACAGTTTTAAATCCGGTCCTGAGGGTATAAAATCCCGGATTATTGTATTATGTGAGTATTTTGGAGGTGACGCACATGCTAGGTGACAGGCGTGTGGGCATGCACTGTGGGAATTGGGACTTGGTCCATTCCGTGAAACTAGAAAGTTGAATAAGCTTGTTGTTATCTATGTGCCCTTTCTGTGCTATAGAAATTTGACAGTGAATCATGCTTAGGCTATGTGTTGGTGCTGTAAAGACCACATAGGGCGTGCACATGTTGAATTATCTGCTAAATTGTTGTCTTGTACTTAGTCACAGTTTACTTGTTTATTTTATCTTAGTCTCTATTGTTTATTATTGATGAATCATATTATTGTTGTTTGGGCTGATTTGCACGATCATTGAGAGCTCGAGAGACTGGAGAGATTTATGACTAAGTGAGACCGAGGACCTGATTGTGAGATATTATAATATAGCACGTGAGTTGTCCGTGCGGATCCAGATATTATACTATAGCACGTGAGTTGTCCGTGCGGATCCAGATATTATACTATAGCATGAGAGTTGTCCGTGCAGCACGTGAGTTGTCTGTGCGGATCCAGATATTATACTATAGCACGTGAGTTGTCCGTGCAGCACGTGAGTTGTCCATGTGGATCTAGATATTGATACTATAGCACGTGAGTTATTCGTGCAGAACGTGAGTTGTCCGTGTGGATTATAGCGCTTGGGTTGTAGGAGCCCTTCCAGAGTCTGTACACTCCCAGTAAGCACATGTACCTATTGAGTGTGAGTACTGAGGGCTGAGAGCCGAGTGATTGAGTTGTTGTGATGAGTTGAGTGACTGTTGTCCTGAGAGGCTGTACTTGCTTTTCATTTGTTGTTTCACTTAGTTGCTATCTGTCATTGTTGTGAAATTTCTTAAAGATTTTATATCCGGATTACCTGAACTTGAACTGTATAAAACATATTTGATTTAAACTGTCGGATTTGAAAGCATGTCTATTCTTTGCTGGAATTATTGAAAATGAACTGTATTTGTATAGCTCGTCACTAACTTCTCAGTTCTTTATTTATTATTGTTACTTACTGAGTTGGTTGTACTCATACTACACCCTGCACTTCGTGTGCAGATTCAGATGTTCCCGGACATAGAGGGTGTTGATTTCTTTCGCACAGTTGATTTTTTCGGAGATTCAGGGGTAGCTACCGTCTTTCGCAGACCTTGCCTCTCCTTCCCTGTCTCCTTATTTACTGTATCTGGTCTCAGACTATTATGGACTGTATTTTCCAGACTTGTATTCATATTAGATTCTCATGTACTCAGTGATACCGGGTTTTGAGAGTATTTATATTTATACTTGTGAGATTTCTTCCGCTAAATTAAATCATTATGTTTTCAAATTTAAAATATATGCAATTTATTGAGATTGTCGGCTTGTCTAGTATTGAGATAGGCGTCATCACGACGGATGAGATTTTGGGTCGTGACATTATTGATACTGGAGCAACTAATCATATGGTGTCAGATGCTAACTTGCTTACTAAGACCTCTATAGTTACTCCTTCTAAGCTTAGGACAGTCTTGTTACCTAATGGAGATGTCACTCCAGCACACTGGTGACAGCAATATTTCGAACAGAAGCACACTTAAAGATGTATTCTATGTACCTCAGTTCAAGTTTAACTTATTATCAATCTCCAAAGTGACAAGAGATCTTAAATGATGTGCTTCCTTTTATCCTGATTTTTGTGTCTTTCAGGATCTCTTCAGTGGCAGGGTGAGGAAGATTGGTAGAGAAAGAGATGGTCTATACTTTCTGCAGAAATATGGTGGAAAGATGCTCACTGCATTATCATTAGCTACTGCTGGAATAAAGTCAAGACAGGGTGACACTACAATTGATGTTTTCTTGTGGCATAAAAGACTAGGGCATGTATCTAGTATTGTTCTTAGTAAATTATTTGTTGCCGAACTAGCTAGTATCAATGACACTATCAATAAGTGCAGTGTATGTCCTTTGCTAGGCAAACCAGGCTGCCATTTCCTTCTAGCTATATTAAGATTGTTACTGCATTTGATCTAATACATCTTGATGTTTGGGGTCCATATAACTATGCAACTTTTGATGGCAATAGATATTTTCTGACTGTTGTTGATGACTTTACTAGGATGACTTGGATTTTTTTTACTGAAACTCAAATCTGATGTAAGTGTGGTACTTACTCAGCTTACTGTACTCATTCAAACTCAGTTTAACAAAGTTGTAAAGGCAGTCAGGTCAGACAATGGTTCTGAGTTTGTCAACTCTACCTGTACCACATTGTTTCAGAAGTATGGTATCATTCATCAAAGAACTTGTGCCTATACTCCTCAGCAAATGGAGTTGCTGAGAGAAAGCACAGGCACATCCTAGAAGTCACGCGAGCTTTAAGGTTTCAGGCCTATATTCCTATCAAGTATTGGGGGCATTATGTGCTTGCAGCAGTGTACCTCATAAATAGGATGTCATCTTCTGTTCTTCATGGCCTTTCTCCTTTTGAACTATTGTATGGTAGAGCACCTAATCTGGGTCACTTAAGAATTCTTGGATATCTGTGCTATGCCAAGCAAGTTCATGAAACAGACAAACTCCTGCCCAGAGCTAAGCCATGTGTTCTCATGGGCTTCTCTGACACTCAAAAGGCCTACATTCTACTGGATCTTACTTCTCATTGTTTTTTTATCAACAAGGATGTATCCTTTAGGGAAGATATATTTCCCTTCAAAGACATCACAGATACATCACCACCTATTTTCTTGTCTCCTGAATTGCCTAGGTCTAGCGAAGAGCAGCCTTCACTTCCTCCTGTTCCTGCTAGGCATGAGTCTACTGACTCTTCTTCTTTACACCAATCTGCAGCAGATGTGATACCTTCTATTACTCCTTCTATGCCCTCTCAACTCTCCACTGGTCTGAGGAGATCTTTGAGGACAAGGCAGGCTCCTATTTGGATGAAGGACTTTGTGTCACAACCTGGACACAAATCTGTTCCCTATTCCATTGCTAACTATGTGCCCTATGATAGAATTTCTCCCAAATATCAGGTATATTTGACTGCATTCTCTTCAATACAGGAACCTACTTCTTTTGAGCAAATTGCTCAAGATCCTAGGTGGGTCGAAGCTATGCAAGCTGAAATTGCTGCACTAGAATCCAATCACACCTGGGATGTGGTGTCCTTGCCTGAAGGCAAGGTGCTTATTGGTTGTAAGTGGATCTATAAGGTGAAGTATAAAGCTACAGGAGGGGTGGAGAGGTTCAAAGCCAGGCTTGTGGCTAAAGGGTACAGTCAACAAGAGGGTATTGACTACTAAGAGACATTTAGCCCAGTTGTTAAGATGGTTACTGTTAGAACCATTCTAGCTATGGCTGCCTCTGAGCAGTGGCACATTCACCAAATGGATGTGTACAATGCTTTTCTTCAGAGAGATCTCTATGATGAGATATATATGACTTTACCTCAGGGCTTTCAGAGCCAGGGGAGACAAGACCAGCATGTAGACTCATGAAATCCCTGTATGGGCTCAAACAAGCACCCAGACAGTGGAATGCTAAGTGTCTGAGGCACTTCTGGGATTTGGCTTCATGCAAAGCCAACATGATCACTCATTGTTCATCAAAGGGTCAGGGGAATATATCATAATCATCTTAGTTTATGTTAATGATATGCTAATCAATGGGCCTAATCTGACACTAATAGCTGAGATGAAGACCAAGCTGCAGCTGAAATTCAAAATGAAAGATCTAGGGGAGCTTAAATACTTTCTTGGCATTGAGTTTGCCAGGTCACAGAGAGGCATCCTGATGCACCAAAGGAAGTACACTCTAGAGCTGATTTTTGAGCTTGGACTAGGAGCTGCAAAACCTACAGCAACACCTATTGAAGCCAACATCAAATTGACCACAAAGAAATATGATGAACATACTAGCAGCTCTAGCGCAACTGATGATGAAGTGTTAGCAGACATCATCCAGTATCAAAGATTACTAGGAAAACTACTCTACCTGACTGTCACAAGGCCAGACATAGCATATAGTATTCAGACACTAAGCCAGTTTATGTAGAAACCAAAAAGATCTCATTTGGAAGCTACTCAAAGGGTGGTTAGATATGTGAAGAATCAACCAGGTCAAGTCATATTGTTATCTAGCAAACAGAGAAATACTATCACTGCATATTGTAATGTAGACTGGGCAGCCTTCCCTATCACTAGGAAGTCAGTAACAGGATTCTTCATCAGATATGGTGATTCCGTGATATCCTGGAAGTTAAAGAAATAAAGCACTATTTCTAGGAGTTCTGCAGAATCTGAGTACAAAAGTGTTGCATCAACTGTAGCTGAATTGGTGTGGATACTTGGTCTTTTCAAAGACATTGGTATAAAAGTTGACCTCCCTGTGAACATCTACATTGGCAGTAAATCAGCAATTCAAATAGCTGCTAATCCAGTGTTTCACGAACGAACCAAACACATTGAAATAGGCCATCACTTTATAAGGGAGAAGATACAGAATGGTCTGGTGCGAATAGAATATGTAGCTATAAAAGAGCAGTTAGTAGACATTCGAACCAAAGGTCTACCATAAGCACAACACGAGCATTTGCTGTCCAAGCTAGGTGTACTTGATGTCTTCCTACCACCTAGCTTGAGGGGGAGTGTTGAAACAAAAGATGTAACTTGAGTAAGGGGTAGTTTAGTCTATTTATGTGTTAGCAGATTAGTGCATTAGTTAGTCAGTTAATAGTGCATATGGTTGGTTAGAGAGGTGGTTAGAGTAGTTAGTGGAGTTGTGTATATATACATGTTGCTCAGGTAATGCAAAGGCAGAGCATTCATTTCTTTCACTGTTGCATTCATCTTGTTGCTCCTCCTCTCTTCTCTCTTTATTCTCCCTTGTCAGTTAGGGCTTATCTCTCTCTCTCAATCTCTATTTCAGCATTAATATGTTTGTTCTTTAATTTCCATTAGGATACAGCTATTGCTAAAACAGAAGGGCATGTTAGTATAGTTCAATGATTTTCTTTTAGTCAAAGGTTCTCATTATACTATTTTACGGTAAGTATGAATTTGGTAAATTGAAAAGTAAGACAGGTAATGTACTATACTCAGTTAAATCATATTGATAATATAATATAAATTGAAAAGTAAGACAAGAATGTTAATGAATGAATCATGCTAGTAAAATATCAATAATAGTTCTTTAATCAGTGAAAAGTGTATTAATTGGACACTTCATATGGGCTCTTCTCTGATGGTTGGATCAGACCCATTTTTAAGTTTTTTTGTTCAAGTAATTGGACATGAGGTTTGTTACTGAGTGAAGTTATAGCAATGAGAGGAAAACAAAAGAAGAGTTGTGAAGGGATATTTATCACTTACTCAAAAGCGTGATTGTTTGATTTTTAGGATAACAAACATGCTTTTCTAAGATACAAGTAGTATGTTATCAGTTGTCTTAAAGTAATTGATTTGCAGTGAAAGAGTGATTCCATATAGAGAAGTTTAGCAGTAGTTGCGCGGGGCTGAATAGTAGGCCACGCGCTAGCTAAGAATAAATTGCAATATATGTATATCTTTTGAATGACTTGATAAAGGGAAGTATGTCATTTGGAAAAAAGTACAATAGCTTTAAATGCAAAATAGATTAGAATTTAAATGCAAAATATATTAGAATTTAGAGTTTATGAGGTTTAAATCATTAAGGCTTAGATAATCTTGTTATCTTTAGTGCTATTGAATTCCATTCTGCAAATGTTAGGTTGATTATTAAGCTTTTGCTGGATATTCAGCTTTATTTTCTACTGAGTCTGTTCTTGAGTAAGTTAATATTGTAATTAACAACAACAAAATTAAAATCTTCTTACAAGCGCAAACCATGTAAAATTTTATTAGTTCAACAATATAAATCGATACACTCGCAAGATAAACAATGGAATAGAAAAAAATAATAACTACCACATTTTTTGAACATTGACACTAATTTAATGTAACTTGAATAGGTAGTTCTATGTGATATAGGTGCATGGAGTTGGCTGTGAAGAGAAAACTAAGGCATGGACTACTAAGTGCAGAGATCAGAAGACATTTCCTTACAAAAGTAGGGTTTTGATCCAAACTGAGAAATATCAGAACTCATTGCCAGTACTACTCATTATGTTTTAGGAGTATGCAAATGCTAAAAATATGGAATTTGCATGTTTTAGAAGTATGCAAAGATGTTCGGCAGTTGGCTTGACACAGAAATTTCAGGCAGTTCTATAATGTATAGGAACTAAGATTTTATTGGTGATCTCTTGTGCATAGTTAAGGTTTAGATTCAGTAACAATGACATTAAATACTATACTTTTGCAGAACACTTTAAATCACATGTCTTCTCAAATACTTGATTCAGAAGAAAGATAAAACACCTATACTTCATTTCCTCAATAGTTCCATAAATAAGCAAGAATCCCAGAGTACAAAACAAAAAAAGGACCTCATTTACTTTGTTGTTCCTTACAACAGAAATAAATGTTACTTCTATTATTCCTTGAACTTTCCCTCTAGAGTCTAGACCATATGTCGATAACAACCGGAAACTATCTTATCACACTGATGTAAACAACTACTAATTTCTTCTTGTCTGGTGATGCGAGTTATTCGCAGGATCACAAAGAGGTGGAAGCATTACGAAAAGAAGTTGAAGAGTTGAAGGAGGAACGGAAAGAAGATCGCATAAATTTTAACAAATTGCAGAGTCTTGTGGAGAAATTTATGAGAAGACGTCCATTTGATCCTTTGAATGGAGAGGATGGCGGGGATAATGAGTTTTAGTTTATTATGGTTGTGATGTTTGAGACATTATTATTTGGTGTAGTTAGATGTTTAGACTTGGTAATGTTTACACTTGACTATGATTGTAATATTTTAGACTAGATTGAATGGTACTAGAATGATTAACTCTTTTTGGATGTTTTAGTTACAAATATTTATGTTTTCTATAATTGTTTGCATTTTATGGATTTGATTAGTTGAAATGGTGGATTGATTGGTTAGCATTGTGGATTAATTGGTTGGCATGGATATTGATTAGTGGCTGTATATTTGAACTGGCAGGTGGTGCTACTTTAAAAGAGCTAGAAATTGTCAAAATATTCCGAGTTGTCTGACTGATTTCCGACCACAATAGTCGCAAAGCGCTTCAAAATTTTCCAGATTCATGAACATTTGCGACTGTTGTAGTGGGAAAGTTAAATAAAAACTAAAATATTAAATTAGATTTGCGACCACAGTAGTGGAAAATATAAATAAATAAATAATTTTAAATTAGTTTTGCGACCACAGTAGTGGGAAAACTCAAATAAAATAAAAATACTTTATATTATTTGCGACCACTCCGGTGAGAAAGATTAAATAAAATTTTAATTATATATACCGTTTGCGACCGAGGTAGTGGGAAAGTTAATATAAAATTAAAATTTAATTTAAATTGTTTGTGATCGCGTCAGTCGGACAGTTGACGACATTTATTAGTAGTTTTCTATTTTGACTTTACGACTGCTGTAGTCGCAAATTACGAACGGATTCGGTCGCAAACTATTTCAGACCAGCTATTTTTGCGACTACGCATTTTCGGTCTGAAAATAATCGAAAACTAACATTTTCTGACCGCTTTCTGACCATTTAGGCGGTCAGAAAATAGCCATTTTCTAGTAGTAATTTATTGGTTTAGCTTGGATTAAACATTAATTTTTTTTATTTTTTTTTTTGGTAAAGCAAGATTAAACATCAAGTCTTAGTCTTTAGAACTAGAACAACATAAAGAATAGGAAAAAGTTGAGCTTAGAATGATCGGATGAAAACTTGCTTTTTTCAAAGTACATGCAATGAGTGATATGCTTTTGGATTGCTCGCTGCCATTATTAATCTTTAGCTTGTGGTAATTTAGGAGCTTCTCTATTCCGCATAGAGATTTTTCAGAATGTATCAATTGATAAAAAGGAATAATTAGCATCGATTTATTAATTATAACTATTTTCTTCAAGATGACCAATATTGTTGAAGGCAATTAAGGATAAAAAAAAAATAATATATTCAATTTTCGATCCAGTTTTTGTATTTGTTAGACCACCAACATGATCATGAACAATTATTTTATTTTTTCTCTTTCTGACCATCATAGAAGCAAAGCTAAAAAATATAACTTCACAAATTTGTTCTCAAATGAATATACCAACAACTTTTGGTTAATGGATCAAACCCATACTATATGTCCTTCTTTTCAAATAAATAATAATAATAAATTCTATGACATGGTAGATGTTATCAGCATGTGTCAATTAAGTCATCTTTTATGGCGATATCTTAAAGATTTTGAGCCAATAAGTAAGGAGCTTCTTCTTTACTCTCCATCCTTTTAGGAACATATACAAAAGAGAACCAAAACCCATAAGAGAGTCTTATGATTGTTTTCAGTCCATGCTGCTAACTGTATTATAACATTGAACCAACATTTCATGTTATGATAATATTTTACTTTGTTAATAAGTATCATTTGAAACCTGTAGCACTTCATATATATATATATATATANGTGATAAGACAACAGAACAAGTGAATAAAAGACAAAATAAGGTATATAAGCGTGTTAGTCGTTCTCTTCAGATCAGGGAAACATAATCTTCTTCAATATATTATTTTTCACATTTGTTTTAGGTTCGCGTCATTTGTGTCTGCTACAGAGTTGACCGATCGAATGCCTTATGGCGGTGGAACGTAATGCAAAAGAAAAGTAACTAGAAATTAAGCCTTTTATTCTGCTACAACATTTTTCTCTTGGTCTTTAAAGATTATCTTTGCATATGTTCTGGCATTTGTTTCGTTATTTTATTAAAATTTTGTCCAAAATGTGGTGCTTCTTTTTTTTTTCCCTCGGTCTCGAAGATGCATATCTTTAAAGATTTATCTTTGCATATGTTTTGGCATCTATTTCGTTATTTTATTAAAATTTTGTCTAAAATGTGGGGTTTCTCTCTTCTTCTTTTTTACTATATATTTGCCCCGTCTCAAGACATTCAGATAGACAAAGTTGTATTTGAGGAAGATGCACCTCGTGATGGAACTGCATTACTTTTTATGTTTCGCAACCAGGTTAATATTCAGTATTATTAGGTTCTTCTATTTTTGACTAGCTTTTCGCATGTGTACCATGAAGGAAGTTTAATCGTTATATTTCTTCATTCATATCATTTATCTTACATTTTAGACGTGCAAGATCAATTTTTCACTTACAGTCTAGGTCTTCCTTTCTATAATTTCTTCTATATATCATCAGCTTTTTTTGGAGATCTTTTTTTTTCTTAGCCTGATTCTTTTGTTGTTGTTATTGAAAAACAGTTCTGAAAAAAGTTTGTGCAGAGCAACAACAGATATTAGTCTTCATACTGTCAATTGGAAGTTTATTCATTGGAGTTTTATTTTGCAGGTTTTTTACATGTTTTTCCTTTCCATAAATATGGTTGCTGTCATTGAATTCTGATCCTTAGCCATACATTTTCTTATATACTTGAATGGCTTGATAAGAAAAGTGAGGTGATGATATTGTTGACAAGCTTTAGTCTCAACTCTACGTCTTTCCTACTTATATACAAGTCCAGTTATTATATATTGTGAACATATTTTCGAGATACTACAAGTAACTTTTGTGAGGCTTAATAACTATTTTTTATTTAGTTATCATTGACAAGGGTGGGTTGCTCTAGCGTCAAGCACCCTCCACTTCCAATCAAGAGATTGTGAGTTCGAGTTACCCGAAGAGCAAGGTGGTAGTTCTTGGAGGGAGGGAGCCGAGGGTCTATCCGAAACAGCCTCTCTATCTCGAGGAAACAAATGCTTATCGTCATGCGAAATAGTACATACACTAGAAGTGCAGAGCAAGGTTGGTGTTTGAGGTTACATGGCATCGGCTCAGCCGACCGGTGCCGATGATATATATCCGGATACTTTGAATTGGAGATCTGCAATTTTGGATGGATGAATAATATCTCTATAGCTGCTTTTGCAAAAGTTGGAGATGTATTAAAGTTTCTGAAATACATTGTTATGCTGAGTGTTTTAATATGTAAACTGTATCTTATGGAGAAGAATAACTCTTTTAAATTGTTGTGAGAATTGATAAGTATTTGATGTTGTCATATGCTTTACATTGATTTTCTACTGATACATTGATTTTCTACTGAGTGTAATGCAAGTTTATCTGAGGTAAAAGAATATTACGCACTGGTGTTTATATGCAGCAACAAATTTATATGATAAACTAAGTATCAGTAACATCTTTATATTATCTCGATTGACAAGTTTAAGAAAGTTACCAAAATGATTTACCCGTTAAAATCATTTATTTTCCATAATATTTCCAAATTACGATCCTTCCTTTGTACGTACTCAAAATTGCACAGTTGAAGGCCGTTCACAATATGAAGAATGCGTGGAGTTTTTCAAAAATAATTTTGCATTCAAAGGTTAATTTAATTTATACAAATATAAAGTTCATTGGTTACAACATGCATAAATATATTAAAAACTTTTCTCTCTCTTCCTAATTCTTTTCCTACGCAGTATCTATTTTCTCCTTATTAGTTTACCGATTGTTTCTCCTATTTATTTCATCTCTTTTCTCCCTCTTTGCGGCAAAACTATTTTTGAATATTCCATATACAATCTTCACTATAATTTTCTTTATTACAATTACAATGATGCCGTGTATTTTTTTTAGTGGAGTCCAAATAAAAAATAAACGTCAAATTGCTTTAAATTGTTGGAATCAAAGTTAAAAATCTCCTTGTAATAATCCTAATAGGGATTTTGTCTTGTCGAAGTAGGAAATGAGTTAAAATATAATATTAGATATATAACTCATATTCAAAAGTGAATTGGATGAATTGTAGATACGTTATAATGTTTGTTTTTTACTTGGACTCCATGGAAGAACAAAAGTACAAGATATGTTATCTAAAACTTTTCCACAACAATCATTTCTGAAATTGAACTCTGTTTTTCATATTTTCTACTACACGTGTAACTTTTCACATCTAATTGGACATGTACGTACAAATAAGAAAATGATGAGAGGGGAAGGCTACATAAATCTTGACGTCAACTAATTAATAAACACACTAACTATAATGCAAGATCTGCAAAAAAGCTACTCTAACTTCAAGCCGTCCGCGCGCTGCATTAAAGGGTTGTTCACAGTAAAGAACTAATGGTTTTCTGTAGTAACATGCAAGCAAGTGTTCGTTTGATTTGCATTGGCTAAATACGTTTTCGACAAGAAAATATCTGTAGAGAATTTTACTTTTTTCTCAGATGAGATACAATTACCACTATATGGATAAGTTCATGGGGTTTAGTTTAATGAGCATGTGATTTAAAATAAGGTTTTAGTTTTAAGTTTTACTCGTTTACTTAGATCTCAATTTTTTTAAGTGGAAGTTGAGGTTTCTCAAGTTGTTCAAGAAAGCTATTCAAAAGAATTTAAGTTCTAGGATGGTGTGATGACCCAAAAGGGTCATTTTTAAATTTAATAATAAATTTTGTGTTTTAAAATCCCGAAAATTATTATTCATCATTCATCGACTTGCGTGCGCAATCCGTATTATTTTTCGGAAGGTTTTATGTAAAAAATGGATTAAAATGTGAAATAGAGCCTTAAAACCCAATTGAGTTGACTTTGGTCAACATTTTGAGCAAACGGACTCAGATCAGTATTCTAACAGTTTCGGTAGGTCCGTATCGTAATTTGAGACTTGGGCGTATGTCCGGAATTTAATTTG